AACCAATGATGATAGCGGAATAAAACTTTACACAAATACGGTATTTGATGCGAGAGTATAAAATGTTCGGTGACACCCGAACTTAGCTCTTCCTTACTTGTTATTAAATATCTTTTGAATTCCAACTTTGACGGAATTGGCGTCTTGAAATTGGTCTACTAACGGAGAAGACAAGTTTAACTATTTATATATGTACATCCATATATGTATTGCAATCATACGAACATATTTACTTTATAATACAATTGCTTATTTTCGGTTAATATTTTGAATACTATTTCTGTATTTGTATGCATGCTTCTCTCATTTATTCTTCCAGATCCCCAGGGTTTTCCTCTCGAAGGCGCGCAACAACAAAAGCCGCCACCGAAACTTTCATTTAGCGAAAATTCGAGTTCGCTAATACGTTGTTTACCGAACGAAAGAGCGATATTTTTCGTGAAAATCGACTGTGATGAAGATTCCGACTTGTTGCCATTACAATTTGAATGGTGAGTATATAGTAAAAATATATATAGTAAAAAAATCGAAAGGATGAATTTAACGTCATGGAACATAGTTTTAGAAACAAACTATAAAATGTTTTACAATATGCTTGATTTTGTTGAAATATTCAGAGACAAATTAACATTCGGGTTTTCGGCTCTCTAAGCTCTCCTTTCTTTCGCTGACACAGCAAAATTTTTGGCGATTTTCCAGTATCGCACGATGCAGCGACCGACGGCAAGTTTGTTAAATACGTTCTAAATGCGCTCTCAAGAGCACAAACGAAACGCTTTGGCATTTTTTTTTCGAGAATTGCTTTGTTGGTCGCAGCATGCTGAGAGATTCTTACCACCTACAGATTGAGGCAGTATGCCTATCTGTGCCCAAAATGACCGGAAAGACCGCTGCGTGATAGCGTCGAAAAATATTAGCTATGCTGAATGAAGAACATCCGCTGGCTAATTGTCTGTGTTAGTGGGAATACACAATTCACAGAGAGTGCTCGAAGTTGGCAGATATAATTTTGATGGCACTATATAATGAGCGAATTTTTGAGTATTGCAATGACAAAAATGCCGAGTTTTTCTTAGAAATTTTTCTCTAACGTGCGAATGTGTTAGTGCGAACGAGGAAGTACGGAGAATCTGGTTCTTTGAAGGTGTGAACAAAACCCTGCTCACTATTGTTCTCGTTAGTCCTATTTCGTCGATCGTCACGTACAGAGATAAACGCTCGGATAACCGTTGCCCCTAGTGAACACAGCAACATAGATAGAAAGTAAAAAAAAAAATTTTGAAAGCTTGAAGATATACAATACATTGTATATTATAAAAAGGAAAATCTGTGTATTAATTTAAGATATGATTTTCATCTTGTGCTAATATACGTGGTGCGTGGATGCTAAAACCCATAAAATCTCACAGATTACAAAAATATTGTGAATATATCTAAAAAAAATAATTTTCACAAAAAATTTATAATTGAATAGTTTAAAGTGCTTCTGTATGCGAAATGTAATGTAAAATGCGCAAGTGGATGATAAAAGACTAGAAAAAGTGGAAATAACAATTTTCATAATGTAAAAAATGTGAAAATTAGCAACAAATTCACCACCCATTGAAGTTTTTTTCTACTGAAAATTTATTAAAAATTCTTAAATCAATTAGTAAAGATCGTAGTGTAGCAAAAGAAACAAAAAAAATTTAATCATAACTTCGAACGAAGAAAATGGAAAATCGAAAATGTTGAATAAAATAATAACCTTGAATCCTGTAAAATATTTGATGTGAATATAAGAAAATAAATGAAATACGCAGGTTTTTGCTTTTAAGAACAATCGAACCAATTGTAAACAAATGCTGAACAGCGTCAAAGGCGAAGAAGTAATTAATTTCACTATAGTTTCATGTTCTGGCTCGCAAATGCATTAAAATGCCTTATTGCCTATATCTATGTACGGGTGATCTCATCGATATTGTCCTATTTATCTTTTTGCCGTTTTCTGTCTTAATTGTGGCACTTGCCCCATATTTCGCTGTTCCTCATTTGCACTAAATTTAGACGCTTGGCATTCGATGTAAATATCTACTTACTTATGTACAAATGCAGATGCAGCTTCCTTGCTTCCCATCAACCGCCACAGTGCTTCAGACCGTAGGCCGACGTCGAGGCGTTGTAAATTTTTCGCCGTATTCACTTTTGGAGTAGAATCGGATTGTGATATAAAAATTGTGCTCGTGGTGTTTCACAACAATTTACAAATGTGTATTACATAATGGAATTTTCGCTTGTCGCTACAGGGCTCTTCAGCAGTTTGCAGTTGTCTCTTTTTTATTTTTGGCTGCTGCGATTTTGGCTGCCGACATTCGCTGTCTTTGATAATGGCATAGGAATGCTTGTTTGCCCGCGTCAGCGCCGCGAAGTCATTCGTTCCATTATTGTAATGTATGGTCTCTGCGTCGTAGTGCCGCACAACATTTCGAGACTTTAGCAATGACTTTTCGTAAACAAAAGCAAAAAACAATCACTACGAGTGCACAACAAAGTAGAACATTGAATAGATTAAGGAATTAAGAATAAAATATTTCATTTACATACATATATACATATGTTATTTATGAACATGTGTAGGGGTTCATATAAATGAAAGCTAAACAGAAATGAATTCGTGAAAAATAAAATAATTTTTATTAACTATAAGAAATAGGTTCACTATAAATAAATAAATCTCTCTGCCCAAAAAAACACACCAAAAAATGACGTTTTGAGGATATAATGGCATCGCAGCAATGGGTTCTGTTTTCATCTCACCAAATGTGACAATTCATCTAAAAGTGAGCTTCATCACTCAACGCAATTTTTTTGTGAAAATCGGGATCGATGGTCATTTCGTTTTGGCACTACTCACCAAAAGTGCGGCGCACTGGTCGTTCGGCTTCATTTCTGGCCAGAGTTGTATTTTGTAAGCCCGCAATCCAAGGCCCTTCCGCAGAATCTTCCATGAGTCATATTCAATTATGCATATGCAATTGCATCCCTGTGATATCATCTCTTCTGACGGAAACGCAGTTATATAGCGCTTCTTTCATTCTAAATGTGTAAAACAAAACTTGGTAGCACTGAATACAGCAGTCTTTTTCACTAAGGTATTCACACACTCTCTTATGTCAATTCATCTCAATAACTTTGCTGTTGTACATATTTTATAAGCTCTCCGACTTTTTTAACATACCTACTACTATGAGCAAGAAATAGTAAAATTAATTAAAGTTCTTAATTTATTCCTCAAAGTCTATGTCGTCCTCCGCAAAGTAATCCCCCTTGGTCACAATACACTTGTGCCAACCTTTTTTGCAATCTTTGACACAGTTGGTGCCTGCGCACCGATATTGGTTAAAAATTAGGCGAAAAACGGTACACGGTGCATTATCGTAGTGCAAAAACCAAGTGTTGTCGGTTCATAATTCTGGCATCTTTTATGAATATAGTTCATAAAACTCAAATAGTTTTCCTTGCTGATAGTTTGGCCGGTCGGAAGGGATTTTTAAATGCACAACACCCCGATCATCGAAGAAAACTATCAATAGAACCTTAAATTTTGATTCCGGCTCACCTTCTCACTATTTCAGGGTCGTAAGCATAGATCCAAGACTCATCGTCAGTGATACTACGTCGCACGACATTCTGGTAGTCGAAAATTATTGTTTCACAAACGTTATCTCGACGCTATTTCTCAGACAAATTGAGTTATTTTGGAACTAATCACGCTTTCACTTCCCTTAGGCCTTGATCGTTCGAAATGGGTTTGACTGACGCTTCCGATATTCAAACAGTACCAGTAAGATCTCTGACAGTTAATCGTCGATTCTCAAGTACTAATCCCTTTATTTTATTGAGGTTTTGATCACCAGTTAACCGCATAATTTCTAGCAATTAAAAACAATTATTATCGGAGGTATTTTCTAACATTCTAAAGGTTTCGGCGCCAGAAATTTGATTACGCTCACATGATTTAATGGAACATCTTTGTTGAATAATTTGCCTTTTCGTAAAAATTGCTGAATGCGCTTTATGCACTTTAGAAAGACAAACGTATATTAAACACTAAAGATTATTTTGATGTGACATTAGGCACAGATATCACTGATGGTCATACAAACCTACAAAAAAAATATTTCGAGGAATAGGTTTTTGCGTAAAAATTAAAAAGTAAATTTTTAAGTTATATTATTAGAGTTCTGGCATTAGAAAAACACCGTATATCTAAATAGGGTTGTGTGAGAAATAAGCAGAGGTTTACGGTTATTCGTTAGACAATCGGCGCTCGCATCCCTTTCCCAACAGTTCGCAATCAAATTCCATTTTCATACGATATAGTGATGATATACTTAAGATAATGTATATGTCAAGTATTCATAAAACCAAGCAATATTTCCGCCTTCTTCCAACTATGTCTACTTCTCAGTATCACAGATCTACTTTGAGGAAGAATAGGACTTTTATTGATATACTTTCTACAACTTGAGTCTTATATGTTCGTCAACCAAGAAACAAATTTTTTTAATTTAAATATTCGGTATTTGATTTTGATTATGATTTAATCACTGTTCTATTGAAAACTACATTTGAGTGTAAAATTGTAAAACTTCTATGTACTTGAACTACTTGAAAATCGCCGGTAAACTTTGATCCACACTTTATATTTTGTTTTTTTATGTAAAGAATTTAAAAAATGTTGTACAATTGGATAAGAAATGCATAGGGCACAGTACGATGGTCGCATCCGTTTTGCTTTGAAGAAAGTAAAAATAAAACTGAAAGAAAATAAATAAATAAACGCCGAAAACATTTGTCTGTCAATTATGTCGATGCTGTAGTTGCGCGACTGTTTATTTATTTTTGTAGTTGATTTTCAATTCTAGTAGTAGTGAGTGTGTGTTTTCGATGTTTAAAAATGGAAATTGTTATAGTTATTCAAAAACCAATTTTATTGATTCAATATACATACATATTTATTTTCTTATCTAGTTAATAAATGCTTTCATATTATGTATTAAAAATAAAAGAAAAATTATACAAAAAGTGAAATAAGAAAGAAATTCACATTGAAGTGTGTTTGTGATAAAATGAAATGTGATTTAAGAGCTTTTCAGTGTGCTAATATTGCTAACATCTGTTTGACGGCAAAATTAGATTTTTATTCATTTTGAAGACGTTTACAAACAAATAAAGAAACTGTGAAAACTTTCGAGTGAAGTGAATAGATATTTGCGGCAAAAAAGTGTGAAAACCATTTAATTTGGCTGAATTTGTGGTCTTAAAAAATGGGCAACGGTTGTTCGAAATGTTGTCAATGCAACGAACACAAACAATATCACGGCACACTTTCATCGGCCTCGTCCGTTTATAGAAGAAGGTACATTGAACTACAACTATAACAACATTTATATTCTTATATACATATATACTTATATTTGACTATGTACGAGGTTCGTTCAAAATTATC